TTAAAATGAAAAGATAATCAATCATTAAAATAATCAATAGCTGCAGGCCTATAATAAAGCTGTTCTTTTATTGAATGTGTTTTATTGAAGTATCATATTTAAAAATGTTAAACATTGGAAAATTTTTTCATTAATTAATTTCCCTTCATAAGAAAAAAAAAAAAAACAACCAAATGCAAACAGATTTTTTATTTTATTTTAAAAGAAAAATAACAAAAAGGTTAGTTTCTTCAGAATCTTTTTTTTTTGTTACCGTTTGTTTAGTGAAATGAGAGCTTTAGAGAAGAGTTAAAATTCAAGCCTTTAGTGTCCTTCTTCTTGGCTCCTTTACACACCAGGTGCTGATTGAATATCCAGAGAAGAGACATGGCCTGTCCCTGATTTGGCCTCGCTGACAGTGAGCGCTCTGTTCCCTTCATGGCCGGACTCCTCCTGCTCTGCTCGTCTCTTTGGCTCTGCAGGAAACGGCCCCTCCACCGTGACGGGCTTTGGTCCATTTATTTCCATCATTTCCAGTTGAGTTTCTTTTAATTATGAGTAAAATTGGCTTCCTGTCAAAGCAGCCGAGGTTGATCTGCACCAATCATCAGCCGACAGCTGCATGAATTTAAGCTAATATGAAGTCAGATGTGGCGCGGCGGAGGAGGTGTGGAGGCTTCGGTCGTCTACGCGGCTGCTGCAGGTTTGAGTCCTGGCCTGCTGACCTTTGCCACATTATTGGTCCCATTTCCTACTTTCAAAAGTAGTTTTTTTTGTTGTAAAAACTAAGACACAAGCTGACATTATTATATCAAAACCCATTATTGTAACTATTGTGATTAAGGCGGGCAGATTAATGAAATCCAGCCGTTCAAAGGACAAATAAAAATTAAAGTTCAACTCATTTGGATCTTGGTCTCTTTCTGTTGTCTCCTCCTGAGGAAGGTGCATCAACCGGCTGTGAAAGACAAGAAAACAGGAAAACATTGATGAGAGAAATATGATCGAAGACTTAATAAGAAAATTCTGGGTCAGATGTGTTTTCATTTCTTGCAAAAAGCTTCCCTCTTTTAAAACAGTTAGCTTTATCATTTAAAAAAATGTGTTTCCTACACCACAAGCATCCTCATCCATTACATGATCGCTTAAATCTAAGATAGTTTAGATCTAAATGAATAATATTAAACAATCTTTGAAATAATACAATATAAAATACAATGCCTTCAATTATTTTATGTACAGGGTCATAAAAACAGGCTGCCTGCAGGGATTTAAAGCTCCAGCAGGTGTCAGTATTGAGTGACGCAGCAGCAGATAGTTTAGCAACCAAACCACTGATCTCCATTTATTCACTGGATTGCTGATTGCCCGTCGGTAGTACAGGGTTGAAGTGAAGCCAGCAGACTCCAGTGCTTTCAATAGGGATTCTATTTTACAAAAATGAACTCAAACATATATTTATTTATTGCTTTCCTGCTGTTAAAAACATGAGCACCACAATACACTGATATTATTTACAGTTAGACTTTTAGTGCATTATTTATAAAACATTAATGTATAAATATCCATCCATCCATATGTTTTCCGTCACGCTTATCCCTGCTGGGGTGGCGAGGGATGCTTATCTCCATCTATCTACGGTGAGAGGAGGGGTCCAACCTGGACAGGTGTCCAGTCCATCGCAGGGCAACACAGAGACAAACAGGACAAACAGCCATTCACACTCACACACCTAAGGAGGATTTAGAGAAGCCCATTAACCTAACAGTCATGTTTTTGGACTGTGGGGGGAAGAAGGAGTACCTGGAGAGAACCCATGCATGCACAGGGAGAACATGCAAACTCAATGCAGAAAGACCCCGGGCCAGGAATCAAACCCAGAACCTTCTTGCTCCAAGGCAAGAAGCCCATCAGAAGCAACAAACTCAAATTTAGAAATTTCATCAACAGCAACAGTTAATGAAGCATCTGATAAGCATTGCACGTGTCAGATGTTCCGCTGCGCTGCAGGAACTTTTGCTGAGCGCCAACCATTGACTTTGCTTCAGGGTTCCTCCAGCATGAGGCAAGTTAGATTCAAGACT